TCATATTCGGAGAATTATAGGACATTATATGCATGTAAAGTAAAGGACATAATATGTATTGGGGATGATAATTCCCCCTACAGAACGTACTTACCCACATTTCACAATACTCCTCTGACTGTGTACATAGAAATACGTTTTCATGGAGGGTTGCTCATTAATTAACTCTTTAACTCCCAAGATCTGATTGTTAATCTCCCTTCTGGCTGCTACACGTTTCCTTGTAAATTAATTACAAGAATGTGGAGTAAGATGGAAATAACAACTTTTACCTGATAAGTTTGAGTTTTCTCATTACCTGCTTGCTGGATAATGTATGGATATTATAGGGAGACGTTACATGCTAATCACTTCCGGGAGTTAAAGGTTTTATGGCAAAGAACACCACATGTTATATTCACACACGAACTCACTTTATTGATAAAAGAAGTACAGGAATGAAAACATTCAAATTTTTAAAGATTTTATAGCTTTAAAATCACACAAATTTTTCCTTATCAAATTCAGAGAAAAAAAGAGAAAAATGATGACCATTGTTGGCGAAAAATACACGGTCTTGTTCTCCACCAAAAGCGTTTTGAGAGAAGATTTAACTTCATTGCATTTAAGATTGAAACAAAAAAATCAAATTCCAACCCCCTAAAAATATCATTAACATATTTGCGGGCTTAGAAGAAGACAGTCAATACCGAAATTTTATGAAATTGATTCAACGGCAATACTATGAGAAAACGGAACTTCAACTGACGTCATAAAAAATTAATAAGTATACCCTATGCATGCTTTATTACCCCCTAACTTCATGTGCTAAACTGAATTCTTCTGATCTACGTCGCCAAACAGCATCTAAACTAACATGTGAAAATAAAAGTTACTGAATTACTCAAATAAGTGGGTGAGTGATAATGAGCCAAGGAACGCTGGAAACCAAGAAGGGAGCTGTAGCTTATTACTTTTAGAGTATGACAATTTTGTATTCACAGTACTCAACAGCTTCAGGCTCAAATCAGATCAACATTTCTCAAAACCCTACAGTTCACGGCGTTCTTGATATCATGAAGTCCTCCGCACGTTACTCTCCTCTCCATCTAAAAATCAGCGATCTCCAACCGGCCGCTTGCACACTGCAGGCGCCACTCCGAAATAGCAGCGCGTAAGTTCCCAAACTCTTTCGTCACGACTGACGATTGCACAAATGTCATCATGATTTCCCCGATACTGACCGTAATAATCTGAAATAGGCCACGATTTCGCCAGATTGAAAAGAGGATCCTTTCCATCTAACAATTTCCATTCTCTATATCCACGCTCTGTGTAGCTATACCTCATCCCAAGCCATGCACTAGGAACCAAATCCTTTACGAATTCGTTTTCCTCTCTAGAGTTGATGACCAGGACGTCTGCATCCAACTTTTCGCAAACTGACACTGCTTCTGTAAGGCTGTGGACTTCCCGTTCTTCATCATAATTGTAACAGAAACCGTCAAACTCTGTCCAACCATCAGGACATACATCTGAAAGACCCAATGGAAAATGTTTTGTTACTAAGCCGACCGCGCGGCCTGGAAAAAAAATGGTGCATCACTCTTATTCTGATCTGGCCTTGCATACCGCCCGGGCGGGTGTGAATCTAAGAGACCACTCGATTCATTGTCCACGAAGGCAGTTTTTTTAAATTACTACTTGTTCGTTATCTTATGATGGCCCTCTCTCTATGGCAACGGGGGGGATTTTTCCCAAACTTACACCTTACGGACGCCAAAATGGCCGATTGAAGAGTTCTTTCAAAAGAAGATCGCAAAGTTATGTACGAGCCATATGTTAGAGATTTTACTCACTGAATGGTTAACGCAATTCAACGAACCCGTTTTTCGTTATTACCATTTGCTTTCTATACACCTCTGGATCGGCTGACACGAGAAGGCCTCTCCTGCAGTGGCTAAACTTGTTATACGAGAAAACCCAAATAGCTCTCAGGTTTAGTACAGGAGCAATCTTACAATGCTTGTTGGCACTCCCTGTTGATCTCACACGACCGAAGTACCCGAGGATTGTTTCAGTGTGGTCTTTAGTGTGTTATTCAATGGTAACGCTTTTCGCCTTCCTTAAAATGTTGGAATCTCGATGACAGGCCGATAAACTACTCGAATTCAATATGAAAGTCCATTAACATTGTCACGAACTCTTTTCCTATCATTGAAACAAGTTGTTTCGCCCTGAAGACCAGTTATGACCCAAGAGGTCCAAGCTAGGAGACTAAATACGCCGTATAGCCCTTCATACCAGAAGTAAGACTTCCTAAAATATTTCTGGATTCAACGTCATCAGTTCAGGGAATAACGCTGCATCTGCCTCAAGTATTACGTGAATAATATTGGAAAGAGCAAAGGCGTAGGATTGTAACCCAAACGATGCAATATTTGTGACACAGGCTTGTTGATTTCCACATCCTCCTCGGACTTTGGAAACAGGGTTAAGCCAAAAACACCTAAAAACTACTACTATCCAAATATGGCTTATACATGATGGGTTTAGTCTCGTGGACATTTTGCTGTTTTTATGATCTATATTTCTTACCAATTTCACATGTTTCTCCACCAATTCCTGAAGCACAAGAACACGAGAAACGACCCAGATTCTGAGGATCCTCCTCGCAAGTTCCTCCATTTTTACACGGACTTGATTCGCATGGATGAGCAGCTGAAAATTAAATGGAACAAAAAAGACGTTTGGCTGATTTCAACAAGAATATAAAACTATAACTGTACGTTATAGCTATATATAAAAAAAACCGCCGATTCTAAGGATAGAGTAACATTCGAACCTTACCTCATTTGAGCATGCAACAACGTGCAGGTTTACAATTCCTTCAAGACTGACTGCTCTCCTTATGGAGCATGAACTATATGAGCAGATCGATTGAGACCAAAGGAGGACGGGAAGCGACAAAGAGTGCATGAGCCGTAATTCAAACGTCAACAATTCAATATATTTGTTTTCTCTCCACGTTCGCGGACCGTAAGACTAAAACAGACAACAGGTGGTCCAGATTCTCTCACTTTTAATGATGGTCTAGAACAAAATTTAAGGATGAAGCTCTTTGTGTAGGTTCAGTATAAAAAGAGGCCGGACGGATAAGAGTAACGGCTAAGTTCAATTAACATTTGTCCAAAACACTATAGGAGATTGCACCGAACAAATTGAGACCTCCTAAATGCTTTCATGAAATATCCTGTTTTGTATCCTAATGGGATGGAAAGGAGAGTAGTCTGCGTTAATTTATCGAGGGTTAGAAGTCAGCATTATTATTTGACACAATGTATAAAGGATAAGTTTATGGATTAACCAATGATAGACTAATTATAGCGGTAAAGACCGATAAACAGACCTATCTCACAATGATCGCCCCGGTAATCTTCTGTACATTGGCAGTCATATTTCTCATCCCCTAGATCTTTGCATGTTCCTCCATTCCTGCACGGATTTTTCTGGCAGCCTCCTAAAAAATTTATAACATCTCAGAAAATTGCAGTAAAAATTTTTTGCTCAATCAGAAATCATTTGGTCAAAAAGCCAATACATTGATCAATTGACAAAGCTCACTTGGGACACATGTTCCGTCCTTCTCTCTGAATCCTTCAGGACAGGTCTCGATACATTCTCCAGTATCAACTCGTTCTAGATACAAACATGCGTTGCAATCCGTTGGCAGTGGTTCTCCACTAGAAGTACTCCTGCAACCTAAGGAGAAAAGACAAACGTCTTGTCCATTCGACAACAATCCTGTAACTGGTTTTGCTTCAGAGTTAGGAAAGATCAGTCATTCTGTAAGGGAGAAATGAAGCAGCGAATAATTTTACCTTTTAAGGGGTCACACATCTCGTGACACTTCTGAACGCATGTATTGGTTCCTTCGTCTTTTGATGTGTCTCCCTTGCATTCCGCTTTGGTAAAGCTGCGCTTAAGTACATGGGCGTCAGTGATTTCCAATGCGTCCTCTCCATTTCCAAACGCATAAAATCGTATGTGAAGGTTCGGCTTCTCTTTGTCGATCATGGATAGGTAGATCTCTCCCTTCTCAGTGGTGCCTTGACTTTTCCCGTATTCTATGACAGTGGCATCGGGTTCTTGTTTGACACAAACAAAATATGGCTGGTACAAGATTTCATCTCCCAATCCAACTGCATCGACATCCACACTTGACACTTTCAGAGCCTGTGACTGTAAATAGATTGCAAAATTGAACGAACAGCCGGCTGATGACTAGAATACTTTTAGGAGTGAATGTGCCTTCTTTGATCGTTGCTTCAGTTACTAACTATGAAATTTATATTCTAAGCATCAGTACGTATGTATGCAACAAAATTCAAGCCATTTCACATTACCGATGTCTAAGAATTTGTAATTCTTTCCTCTCTTTAAATGCTGCTCGTTGCTCTTTCAGACTAAAATCCTCAAAAAGGAGGAGCACACTCAATGATTAACATCCTAGTTATATTTACACTTTACCTTAAAGATTCCAACCCCATGAGGAGAAATCTGCACATAGTACCAAGTGTCTTTGTCCTTAGGAATGACAGAAAAGATGACAAAAACTGTGCCTTTAGTTGAAGCGGTAAAATGGAGACATTTTCCTCCCTGACCAGGGTCAAACCTTAGAGCATTTGACCATTTCACGTTGCATGGCAAATAACCAACTACCTCCTGCATTTGAAATATGTGCTCGGCTGGCCATTCCACCCTGGCTATCTCTCCACCAATCAAGTTCGTATCTAGCTTTTGGAAAGTCTTTCTTGAAATGTTGAACCCCTGTTCGTCGACGTTCAGTGCTCCTCTCTCTTCGTCGTATTTGAGCACTAATCCATAAATGCAAAGGTAGTGATCTCCAGAGTCCACGTTCCCGCTACCACCGCGTTTGCAACCACTAAAAAAGTCAAATTTGTCATCACTTTTACTGACTACCCACTCTCCATCAATGAACCTTACGAAACACTCCAACTGACTTGGAATCTTGACCATTCCATGGTAGGAACCTGTCAAGTCATTGTCCATTTTAAAGATCACTTTGAAGGCAGCTTGGTGCTTGGTCATCTCGACCCATGATGGCCTTCCAGCTTTCGTTTGATACTTGTAGTTCTGTGTTTGGCACCCGGGTATGCCAGGAGCCAGTGACATGTCAGATACCGAGATTGATCCCTATTTGGAAATCAAAGAGGAAAGAAAAAAAACGCTCACCGATAGTCGCAACCGACTAGCGAGCCGAGTGAAATGAAAAACTTATTCCCTTTTTGAAACCATTTGGCGCACTATTATTGAAAATCACGAGGAAAAAAAACGCATTAGGGCCTTACGCTAAGATGCGAGTTAAAAGAAGAAAGGCAAGAAAATGGAAGATCGGCGGTTATAAATAGATAAAATGCGTATTGACTGAGTAAGGTCGGGCTTTACTTGAAAATATTTGGCTCTCGGCCATGAGGCACGGACCTGACTTTGCTTAGTCCTCAAGTTATGACCTCGAGCCATTTATTTTCCCGTCCGGCCTATGCACCCACACAGTCAACAACTATATAGACTACCTCTTCCATATAAACATCAATTGCTCTCTTCAATGAAGTTCTCCGCTGGCGGATAGAGTACTCAAGTGCCTCTCGGCTGAGATATTCACAGAACTCTTTGACGACAGTTCCATTGACAGTTGCATTGTAGTAGTGTTTATTAGTCCTTGAGTCTTTCCGCAACTCAGCTCTGTGTGCTTCACATCCAAAACTTGGCGCTGCATCGGGAAAAAGGTCAGAAGATCGGAAATTCAGCAATTCTGTTATAGAACTGATTGTGAATTTGAAGGCCTTTGGGAACGTGGGAATTGACTTAAGCCATTCCTTAAACTCGGCTTTAAACGTGGGAGCGTAGACATCAGAAATGACAGCCGCAATCTCCTGACTCCCTCCTTGGACAGACATAGAGGTGGAAGAGGTTTTGGTTTGGGACCTTTGTCTTTCACCTTCTGTGTCGCTCTTTCTGGCGCCAGCACTGGCAAAGAAAGATTTAAATTCAAATTCCATAACCTCGCTAAACTCTGTTTTAGATGACACCTCCTGTGCATCCATGCTTTTGCGGATCTCTAGTTGGCCACCGAATCGTCCTGCCTTGATATAGTGAGTTCCAAAGCGTTGAATAAAATCCTCTAAAAGCGGTAAAACAACAATTAATCCTGATGGATATTTTCAAGAGGCATCGCAAGGCTGGATGAGGGGAGTAAAAAGAAATAAAATTTAACTCACGAAATTTTAGAGCTGCCCCTGGCTCGTAGTATGAGGTTGGAAGCATCATGAACTCTCGAAGGAATCCGACGTTCAAATTGTCAGGCTTCACCACATCCATAAAAATTTCATACCTAGAAGAGTGATAGTAGTGAGATACGATTACTCTGGCAGAAGTGCTGAAAGTAGAATGTAGATAATCTTTTCGCTCATACGGGCAGAAAACTGCTAATGGACCACTAGTGTCAATATGAACACCAAATAAATGTCTCCTTATTTGATTTAAAAAATTTAGTTCCTTTTAAAATACCCTAGAAAGTTTCATGCTTCTTTGTTTAAGACATAATCATTGGTGCTTGTTACCTGTCAACATCAATATCAAATACAGCGAGATATTTCTGTGAGCCTTCAGTAGCTGTGCTTCCCCAAGCTTTTTTCACCCCACCATAGAAACCAAAGCCGGATCCGGAGACGCCTGACTGCTGTTCTAGATATTTTTGGTATTCAGACCGACTGTAGAATACCTGCATATTGGCACTTGTGTCGTATACTCCAAGGAGCTTCATTGTGTCGGGAATCATTTTTCCGTTGTATCTAGACCGTAAGATTCGTTTGATTTAGTTTTAACTTGGGGAACTTTACTGACACCGTTTAATGGTCTTAACTGCTGAAGCTAATTTTATGTCATAAATTTTTTTTACACGCAGTTTAGACATATGTCGTGGAGAGAAATTTCTGGTTCTGTTTTCAACTTATGAATGATGATTGGCAGATCAGAGATACTATTTCGCAAGAAATCGTACTACCCTAGCACATACTAAAAAGAGAGAAACAAATTACAGTGCTTGTATAGACGCCACTAGAGAAACTGAAACGTCGCGAAGGAAAATGTTGTTTGGAGCAAAGTTTATCAACTCTGAGTTTCTAGACATAGAAAAAGATGCAAAAATAGAACTAGCCAGTACACTGGTCAACGGAGTGAGCCTATTGTAAAGGAAAGCATCCTAGTATCCTACAGATACAGATTTAATAAGAGACACAGCCTTTTGAACGGTAGCGAAGTACAAATGTAAGGGCTGTGATACGATTGGATTAGGTATCGTCGGGTATTTTCTCCTTAATACTTATAGAACCGCGAACGATATCCCGTAAAGCACCAGTTTTCATATTCAGTAAAGAGTTGTTATTGGGTAACATTCCAGTTGAAATGTAGATCAACCTTGGAAATTAAAAAAATTGTTGCAGTAATCAATGTTTTCAGAATCTTTTCACACTTGGTTAACAGCACTCGCCTCAAAATCTTTACGAAACAGTCCCACAATACAGTGAGTCTCTTCCGACAAACACATGCACAAAGGGAAGTTGGTTTACTTGTTTACACCGCCTGATGTCTTTACCTTTGTTTCCGAGCACAGGCTCTCTGTACAAGATCCATTCTGCTGGACTCAGGACTGTAGTCTCCTCGGCCATCAAAGCCAACTCCCACAAATGTGGCTCCAGGTATCAGATCCTACGACGTGAATGCACCGTTCAAATTGAAACTATTGTTTGACAAACCCTTGACTCTTACAATGTTCATACTAGTTAAAGATACCATTGTGAGAGATTTCAGTTATCATGACTGTCATAAATCATTTGATCTTTATCAAAATGCTTATTTTCCCTTTCTTTTTACTTCTCGTTTGGAGATTCTAATGAGTTGTTGTAACCACTGTTTGACAAACCCTTGATTCTTACACTGTACATACTAGTTCAAGTTAATATTGTGAGAGATTTCATTTTTTTTATGGCTTTCATAAATTATTTTATCTTTATCAAGCAGCATATTTTCTGTTTCTTCTCTGCGTGTTAAATTGAGATTTTTTTGTGTCACTTAAATGTAAGTAAATCCCGCTGAACTCACAATACATTTGGTGGTTGCCCACGTGGCGTCATAACAGCGATCACCAGGTTGATATCCACTTCCAAAGCATCCGTTCATTATCAATCCACCAGCACCAAATGGAAATGTAAATGGCTGCTGTCCTTGCACAGTTGGTGCAGCTTTTGATTCCGGAACAACTTTTGCATCTAAGTGGTAACCAGGCGGAATGAACATGTCATCGGTCTGCCAACCTTTGTCACCAGTGATGTCAAGTTTTATCTTCAAGTAAAGTATTAGCAATTGTAAAGACTACAGTACTTCTCAAAGGTAAGTTGACAGTCTCGACTCGATCCTCTTTACTCGAAACTATCGAGATTCAAGGATCGAGGATCGAGGATCGAGGATCGAGGATCGAGGATCGAGGATCG